ACCCCCAGCACTCATCCAGTGTCAGCAGTGACCAACTCGTGGGTGATCATGCTTTTTCTGTCACCCCACTTATTCCCTTCCCTCGATTATTTTGAAGGAAAGCTGCGACATCATGTCATTTTTTTGGTAAATTTTTTTGGTATGCACCTTTAAAACCTAAGGACTTTCTTTTTTAAAACATAAGCACAACTTGTTTCTTAGTCATGAACAGACAACTGAGGATACTGTAACTCTGAGCAAAGGTGCATTAGAGACCAAAGAACAGATAGAAAAAGCAGCTGAAACAAACTACACTGGGAGAAAACGAACCATCAGTGATGCACTCAGGTGAAGGAAGAGACATTGTAGGTATTATGAAAACAGCTGTTGCTCAGCTGTGTTTGTGCTTGCCGCTCAAGTAAAAAAAATTCAGAGAACAAAAAAAGAGCTCCCTTAGAAATTGAAACCATGATAAGGAAATGAAAAACCCAACAGAAGAGTTAGAAGATAAAGTGATGGCATCTCCAAAAGAAGAGCAAAAAGAAAAAAAAATATGGTAAAAGTAGTGGAGAAAAGATAAGAAAATTGGAGGACCAGTCTAGAAAGCCCAATATCTGAATAATAGAGGTTCTGGAGAGAGAGAAAACAGAGAAATATAGAGGAAGAAATTAACAGTAAAATACTTCAAGAAAACTCCCTGTAACTGAAGGACGAGTGTTCAGATTTGAAAGTACTCACCAAGTTCCCACCTCAAGCTACATCCCTCCAAGATTCTAGAACACTGGGGATTAAGAAGAAAATGAAAATTTCCTGAAAGAAAAAGATGTGTCACTTCGAGAGCATCAGGAAGCAAAATGGCTCAAGGCTTCTTAACAGTAATGTTAGAAGCAAGAAAATAAGGTGTGATGCCTTCAAAACTATGAAGGAAAATCTCCAGTCATGACTATACCAAGTATGGGGATGGAATATAGGTGTTTTCTAACTTAAAAAGAAGGTATTTTCCATGCATTCTTTCTAAGGAGCTACTAGAGAATGCATACCGCCAAAGCAAGAGAAGAAACCGGCAAAAAGAGAATGTGGGATACAGGACACAGGAATTAGCACAGGAGAGAGATGAAGGAAAACCCCTGAGGACTGTGAAGGGAGATCCCAGGAGAACGGCTGTGCACCTGATGTAGGAGATGGGCAGTTTACATGTGGCAGTGTGACTCAGGCTGTCATCACCAGCTCACCTGCTGCCGGTGTTCCATCTCTTTCACCCGAGGACTGACTACGTGGGGAAGTCTGGTCCAGATCTTATCTGTACTTGGCTGTCTTGCTCGTGTGCTGATGCAGCTCCTGCTCACCCCTCCTTGCCCTGCTAATTGGATAGACAAGTGTTTTCTTTGCCCACCTCTGAGAACCAAAGGTAGTCTAAAGTGAATTTAGAAACAGAAAATACCGAGGAGCCCACTCCCCCTACCATATTTCCGATGGATGTCTAGTATCTGCACCTCCCCTCCCAGCTGTCAGATGTTGCCACTGTGGTCACCTATCCAGTTTTTCTAGCGCTCGTATATGATCTTGCTTACTGGCTTTCCCAGAAAAGGCTCTTGTCATTTCTCTGGAACCATGACCAGACACTGTGTTTAGCTTGTTTCCTTCAGGGAGGCTTCATATGTTGAAGTCCTAACCTGTGATTGTGATCTTATTTGGAAAAAGGGTCTTTGTAGATGTAATCAAGTGAAGATGAGGTCATGCCGGATGAGGATTGGCCCTAATCCAATGACTGGTACCTTTATAAGAAGAGGGAATTTGGACACAGACACACAGAGATTCATTCACAGAGATGAGAATACCGTGTGAAGACAGAGATAGACACACAGAGGGCAGATGGCCGAATGAAGAGATTGGAGTTATGCTACCCTAAGCCAAGGAATGCCAAGGATTGCTGGCAGCCACCAGAAGCTAGAAGACGCAATGAAGGATTCTTCCCTAGAGCCTTTGATGGGAGCATGGCCCTGCTGACACCCTGATTTTGGACTTCTAGCCTCCAGAACTGTGAGAGAATAAATTTCTGCTGTTTTCAACCACCAAGTTTGTGTTAGTTTGCCTTGGCAGCCCTAGAAAACTAGTACACACGACCACATTTGTGCTTGTCACTCACTTTTTCAAAACTAAACAATATCTTATTTAGGGATGTATACATATGTGGTAAAATCATAAAGAGAAGTAAAGGAATGCCTAACAGAAGTCAAGATTGATATGTCTGGGGAGAGGGAAAGGGATGTGACAGGGAGGGACACATGGAGCTTCTAAGCGACTGGATGGGATTATAGGGGTTTTCATCTTATTTTCTTTTAACCATACAAACATGTTTTATACACTCTTCTATGTGTATATACATTTGACAATAACCTTAAAAAGGAAGACTAAACCAAGCAAAACACAACCCTCAGAACAGAGTTAGACCAGTTGCTCAACCTGGGAGAGATGATGCTGAATCATTTGAACCAGATGAAGCCCTGGGGGTGGGAGCCCTGGTGCCAAGGTGAGCATTTAGCAAATTGGAGCCCCTTGTGCTAATGGTGATGAATAATAAATAAGACATCTCAGAATGATAAATCATCAACCAAAGCTAAATTTACCATTAGGACCTAATGGGAGAGTCTCCTCAGTTATGCCAAGTTTTGAGAGCCTGGCCTCCAGCTAAAAGGTATTAAGGTCAGACTCACGGAGCCCTTTGTGGCCACCCCACCTGACTCATTTCTCCTTCTTTTTTTTTTTTTTTTTTTTTTTGTGAGGAGATCCCCCCTGTGCTAACATCTGCCAATCCTCCTCTTTTTTGCTGAGGAAGACTGGCCCTGGGCT